TAAATATTTAACAAACAGCATCATTTTTTGTTCATTGGATGAAAAGAATGTTTCAGTATCATATTTCTCAACTATTTTTTTAAATTTGTTGTTACCTGAAATAAGATCGATAATCAAGTAAAATGATCGGAATTAGTCCTTGTTTTTTTAATACAAGAAACCGATATTCCAATGGTACCTATTGTTATCGCAAAAATAAAAACAGAAAGGAAGCTTAATTTCAATTTTTTTTCAATTACAAATAATTGATACAGTTTTTAGAAAAAAAATTTTTTTGAAATAAAATCATAAAAAAGCTAATAAGCATAAAGATATGAATTATCGGAGGCAAAGAAAGGATGAACTTCGGACCAAATTAATCATCTCATCGCATTCTCAAGTAATTAGTAAAAAGCCTGCGATAAATAAACGAATTTATCATAGCAAATACTTCTTTAACGGATGGTTACCAAATTGCCTACACAGATAATTAATTATTCCAATGTTTACTAATTATTGTTTAATTATTGATCAAATTAAGCACTTTTTGAAATTTCGCAACAGATGTTTCATATAGCTTTCAATTTCATGAAGTTTTCATGATAAGCAGAGATTTTAGAAATAGTATATCTATTCTAAAATTATTGACAAAAAAGACGAAACAACAGTAAGATAAAAAAGGTTACAAATATTTGAATGAATATCAGTAAAAGGAGAACAAATAAAAACGAAAGTGATGAAATAAAAATAGAATAAGCACGTGAAATCAAGAAAATGGTCAGAATTGAAAAAAGGAAATGAAATGATTCGTTATCGTTCATGCTGAAATTTATTCATCAAGATTTCAATTTATAAAACTCGGAAAAAAATTTCTGATTTTGCATTACTTAGGCTATTTTAATAAATAATTTAATTTCACCAAATTGCTAGAACTTTTAGTCTCTTCATGCCAAATCAAATAAGTAAAAAAAAATGCCAAGTCAAATAAATAAGTAAAAGACAATCTTTTATTTTTGAATTTGATTCAGAGAAAATCACCTAATAACATTGTTATTGAAATGTTTGACTGTGCTTTTTTCCCAGTTTTGACTTGAAAGGAAATATTGAAAAAAATTGATTTAATGCATTTGAAAAAAGAGGCAGATCAGTGATCGATTAAATTGATGCCTGCAATTAATTGATGACTTTTAACAAGTTTGAAAGAAAGAATACAACGACAATTGTGATTGAAACCAATTACCAATCATTCATCCGTCAATTAATCATCTCAATATACTTTATAAACGTTTTTTTTTTCTGAAATTTGTAAGCTCTTACTTTCATACTTCGTATTGCACAACTGCCTTTCTTCTTATATTTCAACAAAATGAGAAAAGTGCAAATCGTAAATTCAACCACTACGAAAAAAAACAAAAAAAAGAAAAGCTTCCTTATTTTCGTTTTCAGTTTTTGAATAAAATTCTTTTAGCTCTACGCCGAATCTTTCATTGTGGTAAACAAATATCCACAATGATGCAAATTTTATTAAATTTTAATAATAATAACTAAAAGAGAGGATGAAAGTTAGTTAGTAAACAATTAATACATAGGAGGATATTTAAACTTTATCAAAAGACAATATCAATCAATTAATAATTAGAAAAGGGTAGGTGACAATGAATAAGCAATTAATTATTCCCTCAACACTACGCTTTTAACCTTCAAAATATCCACAACAGGGCATTCAGCCTAAGAAAAAAGAAAGAAATGAGAAAAAAGCCACCTGTCGCTTGGCATACACAAAACAATTCATTTACTTCACAAAATCGAATTTCCACTTTTCCAACAGTAAAGCCCCTTCCTGCCCCTCCTGCCACTCTATCCTGTCCCCCGCCCATTCCCCCTCACCCTTCCGTCCCATATTCACCCCTCCCACCATCTTTCTCCAGAAAAAACATAAAAAATGAAAGCATTGAATTTCGACCAATTTTTAAAATAATTACATAGCCAATGAGAAAATTAAATGCCTCAATGAAATTTGTGCATTTTTGAATACAATGAATCTTTTAAGAACAACATGAATGAACTGGGAATCTTTTTCTTTGAAAAATACTCAATATAATATATGTTGATTCAAATTTTAAAAAAAGGATTTGGGTAATAAAATATATCGAAAGCACTCTTCTCTTCCAGGATTGATGGATTAGCATCATATACAGCACGACAAATTATACATCGGATCCGGCTAAATATTAGTCACCTGAACAAGATTTACAATACCACTCCTTTTCACCAAAAATGCTATCATAAATCCAATGAGTTACGAGCAGAAAAATCTTTCTGATAGCGCATAGAAAATGAAATTCAGTTCACAGCCATTATAGTGCTAATTGCACTTTCATAATGCTATAATTTGGTAATAAATAGGATTGAAGGCCTCAATTTGATCATTAATACCCTAACCTAAAAGAGGACGGAAACAAACGAATGAACTAAATGCTCTCTTCATCTTGAATGTATCCTTCGGAGCGCAAGAAGACAAAACTCTAAAAAGAATTCTGAAGAGATAAACATTGTCGAATAAAAAAGCAAAGGGAAGGTTGACGAAAGAAAATGACGAAATCACAGGTGTATCAACAGGTAATGACTAAGTGAACCATGATATAGTAAGAAATCCAACTCTGTGTAATTATCATTCCTCATTAATTAGATAATTAACCCAATGATCCATTGTACATTTATTGTCAGGAAATGTTTTCTCATCCCCACACATTTTTCTTACTAATAAGACGAGAGACAGCAAACAACCAATACTTGAACCAAAGTAAATTTTCCTCCTATTTCATAGTAAGTGGTAATAACAGATATTATTCATATATTTGATCATTAATAAATACTAATATATATATATATATACCAATTATAATCGAATTAATTATTTTAATTATCTTGTGATCGTCGTAATTATGACTCATGAAAATGCAATAAACATATTGTAAAAAATGAAGCTAATTTGCTTCACCAACTGATAATTACAAAATAAAAAATTCGAAAAACTTATCAGTAAAAAATTTTCTTATTTTAAAGGTAACCAACGAGCAGCAGACACTTTCTACAATATTTACAAGTGGATTAATGAAGGAGTAAAGTACCAAAAGTATGATAGCAATGAACAGAGTACGAGCAAAACATTGCCACTCTTTTTTTATATTACCCTGATATTGCAATGAACGGTGTGTGCACATTTATCTGAGTACACACATATATATATGTGTATAATATATATACATTCATGTCCAATGATTAGATAAGCTCAATTTTAAATTGTTTAATTTTACGGTTGGCAAAAAATTTTGCGTTGCTTTATTCCTTTTTTTTCCGGAAAAAATTATTAACAATAGAAAAGATAATAAATTGGTCTCCCTTCCGTTTTTTTTGGAAGTGGGAATGAAATAAGGAGAATTCCATACTACTTTACAAATACAGAAATTCTAGATTGATAAGTTTTTTTTTAAATTCAAATTTCCATTTTTAGCAAATATGGACCGTGCATTAAATCCACATGTGCCGAAGTGATTCCATAAAACCGTTAGAAATTCCTCACTTAACAATAGCACGGCAAAATCCGAAATTTCTCGTGTTTCTGTTCAGTAAAACTTTAATAAATAGTAAATAAATAGCAAATTTAATAAATAGTTTAATAAATAGTCTGTCATGCTCACCAATGTTTCCTCAATTTCTAATGATCTTATCACTTTACATCCCTCAAAACAAATCAATTCAGAACTCTATTCTTTTTCACAATTTTCTATGCAAGAAAAAAAGCTCAGACCCAGTTTGCTCAATAATCTCAGATATTAGGAAACATTTAGAATTTCCAAAAGAATAAAGTTCCATCCACTATCATTGAGTAACAGGCAGTACTAATCAATGATAAACATAAACTTTTATTTCATGTGAGCAAAGAAAGCAAACAAAATCACCACAAAACTATTACATATAATTAAAACCATACAATAAAAATTGGATTCCTAGCAAAACCAATCAGATATTCAAGCTGAAAGAAAACATAAAACTCTTTTTTTGGAAAGGGTAACTCTTTGATATTTACTTCGGTATCACCATATAATTAACAGTTATTGATTATCTATATCATTTTCCTTTACTAATATTCATCTTCCTCCATGTCGTTCACCCTCCTTACTTAGGAGAACCAAACCATCGGATACTATTGAACCATTTACTAAATGTGGATATAATTTGAAATTTTTAATTTTAATATCTTCAGAGCAAAATATCAACGTCTAATTATATGAGTAATTTAACGTTTCTCGAATTACATTATTTGGATCTCTTTTAACATTCTGAAATTGGATAAAATTTCTGTCAAACAATAACAGAAAAAAATCACTGAAACCGTAGATAAGCAATAAAAAGATAAAAATCTGGAGTTTTATTCACTGTGTTTACCAGAGATTATCAAAATATTTAATCGCAGTTTCCATACTTTACTTTTTTTTCGACTTCAATTTCCGACTTCAAAATCGAAAAAGGGGCGAAAAAGGGGACCCAACAATAAGGCATGGTAGATGTCTTTAATTATTTTCTTTGCATAAGTATACCTACGAATAAGCGCTTATATTTATATAAATTTCAATTTTTCAAAAATTTCAAAAATGCGAATGATTCAGAATTCTAAAAATGTCAAGACATCATTTATTTAAAACAAGAGAGGGGATGAAAAGAGTATTGATAACAATAAAAGTAAGTTGAAAACTTCCAAGAACGAAAGTGACTTGTCAAAGGACTAGAAAACCATGGAATGTAATAAAAGAGCATTAAAGTAAAAGTGTATATAATGTCAAACCATGATAAATGACAAGCAAATATGAGGGAGAAAATTTTTGCATACCCTCAAAAATAAATCATATGAAAACTCTTATCAAAAATTTAAAATTTTAATAAAAATGCAAAACTACTCGATAAATAACATACAGAGAAGTTTGCAGAGTAAACTGCATAAGATTTTGTTGTGCTTTTTATCAAAGATCAATTCTTAAAGCCGATAAAGCATCCGGATGTGTTGTAGCGTAATTGGCTGAAATCTGGGCTGATTGTATCTCATCTACCGGTTCGTTAGTTGCGGAGAGTTTTGGTCGCTTCGGTACATTACAAGCTTTGCTCGATTGCCTAGATTTTGATAATTTCAACATTTCCATCCGTAATTTCTCCAATATTGCATTATTTGGTTCCAATGCTGAACTTTCTTTAGTGCGATTTCCTAAAAAATTTAATGCTTGGAACAGTACAAACAAAATTTTAGAATTTTCAAATCTTGAATTCTCAATACCAAGAACCATAAATGAAAGAAAACTTGACCTATCGTTAATACATTTTAGACCCAATAAAGTAAAATGTGTACACCTTGCAATTTGATAATACTCTGTCGACTTTTTCGCGCTTCTTGCTGCTTTTGTTGTGTCCCATGCCCGTAAAGACGTATGAGGGAACCCCATGTATCGAGCTAAAAATCGAAATTTTTATTTTTTGATTTTACAATGATTTGTACTTTTGAAACAAACTAGTGAGACCAAAACAGCCCTTCCCAGTAGTTTCCTCTCATTCCATACTATATACAACCGAATCTTATATCAAATGGAAAGATGAAAAAATTCCTCCTATAATTTATCTCTTTTTTCCAGAATGAGAATAAAGTAAGGATGTTTTTGAAAATTGTGTTCTTATCACAAAATCGAAGCACATGATAGACTTCCTACATTTGTCAAAAAAATTCATAATTTAACTACCTAAGTACTTAAATTTATGATCTATGCAATCAAGATTTATTTTTAATAAATAAGAATTTCTTTGCAACTTTTCATACCGAATTGCTGTTATTTGATAAGAACTATTATTGTATCAGGTGATAATTTTGCAAAATGTGAGTAAAATGCTAAACAAATTACGACTATGCAAACAAGGAAATAATCAATAATTTCTATGCAAAGAAACACTAGATTTTAATTTTTTTGTAAAGAAAATAAATAAATATTCCTAACAAAGAATTTCAGTTCCCCAAATCTCACAGAAAATTTCAATTTTCATAAACGTTATTAACATTAGGATGCAATTTTTTTAGCATTGCTTGCGACGCTTTCTGTTTGCCTTCACGTTTATTTGCACATATAACAGAAACACGATGTTTCCCGACGTCCATATCGAATTGATGGCGCTGATGTTTGACACGCACCGAATGAACCTTTATCTCCGTATCGCCATATGCTGCATTTCGTTTCAAGCATTCCTGGAATATTTTTATGCTTGCTATAATGTGAGGAAAAAAGACATACCAGAAGAACAAAATGATCACTACGAATGAGAAATTCTGAAATAGTTTGTTAACCAAATAGTTTGTTAACCATTAAATAACATTACTTTTGCAAAATAACTAAACTGGTACACCTAAATTTACGGCTTCGAATAATCTCAAGGACTAAGACAAGAAATTTGGAAAATAAATGTGTGAAATTTCAAAAAACACAAAAGAACATCATGCTTAAAAATTTATATAGATTTATCACATAGTAAATTTCAAGCAGTAAATCTAAAAATTTAGAAAATATCCCGAAAAGAATAGTTAAATTTAAAATCTCATAAAGATGTGCAACATATAACGAATACACCTTAAAATTTGAAATTAAAGAAATGAAAGACATTTCAAATCTAAAAGTTTTATTTAAACAGAAAACATCATTAATTCTCAGACTTCAAAAAGGTTAAAGATGTTAAAAATCTTTTAAGGCATAAATAAATTCATTTACAACTCTAAAATTCGTAGGCAATGTATGCAAAACATTGATAAGCAACATGAGCAATTTTTGAAAGTCAAAATTTAATTTAACCTGAAGTAATAAATATGGTGATGGTTGACCAGCTCTAGCAGATAAATCAAATATTCGCGAATCTTCTATTGGTAACATATCAAACAGTGCTACCGCATCTTCCTTATCGCTTTCTGCATCATCTTTCCTAAAGAATTAAAATTTCAGTAAAACAGCACTGTGAAGTAACAAATATGTTTACCAATTTTAAGAGTTCAAACAAACTATTTCGGATGGCAGTTTATAGTGCAGAGCTAAATAGTAACAATGATAACAACACACAATGCATGTATTTATAGACACATAGAATATGTTAACTTACTTTTCAGTTCTTATACAACAAGAGATAAAAAAAAGTATATTAGAGAACTGACAACTAGCTACTTTACGCAAAGTTTTTTTCATATACTGAATCATTATGGGATGAAACTTTAATCATGAAATATGGATATGAAATGTCCAACTATTTTATGCATGTAAGAATGAACAAGGTGTGGGATTTAAATCCTCGATTTGGTATGTTTAAAATGAAACTGAATTTTGAAATCTTTTGTTTTTACCAACAAAGTGACTTACATTTTCTTATCGCTTCTAGCAATGCCTTCTGGATCAAATTCTACATCTGGTATTAAAACTTTCAAGGCATTTCGTGCGGCATCCAATTTGGAAGTTTTTTTGCTATTACCGCAACCCGTTCCAAGAACCACAAAATCAGCATCTAAACACATAATAAATTTCAATCTTTTTACTTAATGGAAAGGATAATTTACATAATGGATAATGAAAGATTTTTAACGAACGCATAAAAGGGTAAGTAATATTTTCGAACACATATGGGAGGAGAAAATAAAAGAGTGAAAAAGCGGAGCAGCATGGAGAGGGAGGATTTAAGAACTCCAATACATTATATTTAGTAAATATATAAATATATATAAATATGTGATGGAGAGAGGAACAAGAGATGTAAGGATGGAAATGAAGATGCCTTTAGGATTTGAAAATGAAAAAAGGCACACAAATGCAAAAGGCTTTGTGTTCTCACCTCTTCATCGTTATTCCGTAAATTTTATGGAATAACGAACTTATCTAGCTAACAGCAATTTAGATAAAAACAAGTCTAGGTAACGCTAAATTGATATATAACCTGAAGTAGTGTCGTTAAGTAGTACGGTGCTCAATAATTCTAAAGATTTAGATTCAGGCTAGTATTTCTTCTTTACAACTTTCAGTCCAAAGACCTTCAGATATTTGCCATACTATAATTTAACACATTCTAGGAAACTCTGTTGGGTTAAAAAATACAAAGCATATACAACATGACCAGATTTAGGAATGCAATTCAAAAATTCACCCATCCTCCAGCTCATTTACAAAAACTATACTCTTTTGTTTCACTCATTTTTACTGTACAGCTAACCTGGTTGCTCGCCATGTTCTTGTAAACGCTGTTCCCGTCTTTGCTTTTCTTGCAAAAGCATTAATTTTTCCTTGACACTTGTTGCACAAAGTACTCGGTTATTTAAATTCATTTTCAAACGTGCGGTGCATCCATATGGCATTGATGAATTTCTAAAAACAATAAAACATTCTTCACTGAGGTTAAAAATGAAATGTATACCAAATAACAAAAAATCGAGCAATTAAGAGAACCAATCGATATCTACTGAAAATAAGCATCAAATTCTCCTAGCAGTCTATTAACTGATACTGTTTAAATCGTTAGACACTTTATCGATTAGTCATTTCATTGAATTATACATACCTTGTCTCTGAGAAATAATAATTGATGGTACTTTTCAAAACTTTCTGTACATATTCATGCAGCACACTGACAGATGTTTTCCCTTGTGGATTAAGAAAAAATCCACGATGTTGTGGTTTCAGATTTGCTTCTAATGCAGGAACCGTAATCAACTTCACATTTGAGGGCAATGCTGCAGAATTAAAAAGCAATTATTTGCAGTGATAAACTACAATGAATCACGATGGAAACATGATAAAAACTGAGCACACAAAGAATGCTATACAGACAAACAAGATCAGCACAGTGGCAAATAGATTTCAATAATAAGGATTGGTAGGTAGATCATGAATTTTTCTAGACTGATAAGTGATTGCAACCAGAAAAGCTTTCAGAAAATTTTCATTTATTTTTACTTTCAATTGATACATGCATTTTTCTAACCTTTAGCAAATTAAATTAAAAAAACGATTCTCACCGGGACGACCAACTGAAAGCTCAATAGAGGATGCATTTTTCCCAAGTCTTCCGGCTTCAGCAAGTTTCCGTTGGCGATGAAAATTACGTGTTGCAGCCCATTTATTGAACCGATATGTCTTAAAAAATTATATCTTAAAAGCAGACAATTAGACGTACTGGTATATGCCATTAAATTGAAAGTTACCTGAATTTTTTTGAACTTAAATACAGCTTTCGCATAATCGTGTAACGCTTGTGTATCAAGCTGACGCTCCTTGAAGTCTTCAGCAGTCTAAAATTTTGGAAAAATTTTGTATTTAAACAGAAAGAAAAATTTTCGTGGCTTTCCCATCATTACCACCTTTTACTGAATTTGATCCGTGTATCTAGTCTTTTCAAGAAAACATTTTCCTATTTAATACATTAACCGAACTTGAAATTACAGATAAATTTCGTAATATAAACGGCAAGTGAAACCAGCATTTAAATCCGCTTCATAATTTATCAAAATAACTTGTAAGGCTATCAAAAACGATGGAAGTCTAAAGAAAATATGTAATCTTAAGTGGATTCCTCAAAATTTGGTACGCTTACTTGAACTTTCGTACCCGGTGCTTGTAGTCGCGCCATCACTAATGCAGAATCTTCAACTGCACCATCACCACTTTGTACACTAACCGATTCGGAAAGTGCATTTTGCAGTGCAGCTGCACTTGCTGCAGCACCCTCTTCTATTTCTTTAAGTACGCGTCGCTGATGCAAGCACGGTATAGCGGAAATTGGCACATTATGATGTCGTACGCTGCCTGGACCAATAAAGTACGGCCGTGAAAACGTACAAACCCGTGTAGATTTATGCTAAAAAAGGAAATAACTTCAAAAAAGAGGGATCTCTTTTTCTCTCAACTAAAAGTCTGCAATGTAATTTATGAATGGCAAAAATAAACAACTTAACTATGGAGCAAAATAACAGTAGGCTACTCCCTAGGTTCAATATTAAGCGTTATTTTTGGAATGCAAAATTATTTTCTGATGAAACTCTGGATTGTATAAGTGAAGTAGACTCAGATTCTGCTTCAGGAAAAATTTAAAAATCAATTTGTTATTTAAAAAAAATTCGGCTGTAGACCGAATAAAAAAACTAACCAAATAAATGGGTAAGCCACTACTGTGAGTCACTTCTACCCATCCCTCCGGTAATACATCAAAATAATCTGTTCCGCGATATGCTAATACTATTTTCTCTCGTACTTCACCATCTTCTGGCACAATCACTTTACCCGTTTGAGCATCCTCTATTGGTTTCTCTAACAGTAGATCGATATCTTCACCATCATCTTCGTCACTGCAAATGTTTTAAAAAGAAAGTTACATCATTTATGGATATAATGTTTGAAATGAACAATAAGGCTTCGTTCCAATTCAAATAAGAAAATCGCAATAAAGGATTCTAATAATTTAACCGTAAAATGAAGTGTATCTCAAGCTATGATAAAATAACTTACGATAAGAAGGCATCTTTCCTATCTCCATTATTTCGTCCATCTATTTCATTTAATTCATTGCCACTGTCTTCAGCTGGAAGATATTCTAATAGTTCGAGGAAAAATCAATTTTATAAGATAATTAATCCAATTACTTATTATTTTTTTTTCAGTCTACTTTAAAGATTCCAACCTCAACAAGATGAGAAGGTGATAATGATTAGGTAGTGCACAATCATGATGTCAGTAATATTATAATCTTTTTGAAAATTGAAAAAACACTGATTATTTTAGTTAACAAAAGGAATATGCCCAAATTGGAATCATCAATATTTTAATTGACAAGAGATTGAAGGAACTATTTTAGCACTCAAATCATAAACTAGGTAAAACCAGTGCAATTACAAGAATGTGAACTGCATAAAATAACTAATCACGTGTGCAAAAAAACCAGGACCTCTGATCTGCAAGTGAAAAAATAACCAGCACCTCTGATGACCAGTCAAGAATTCTGGTAATTAAAAAATCTACTGGATAGCTCTAATTTACCGGAGTATCAGGATAACTAAAATATCTACCTGGTCGTGATAAACTTTTACTGCGTTCTTCAGCTTCTTCTGATTGCTGCTTATCCGATAATATATTCTTATCGTCTGTCAAGTTCATTTCATTTGATGGTAAAAACTGATGCTGCGGTGCTGGCGGTGGTAATAATGGTGTGGACGGAGGTGGAGATGGTGGAGGCGGTAATGGCACTAATGGCACTAAGTTTTCAGCAGCAATGGAAAAATTGTTTTCGGTACTATTGGATAAGATATTTCCTGTCTGGACATTAATAGCATTATTTATGTCACTCTGAAATTCATACCCATGAAAAGCATAGAATGAAATTAACAAATATTTGACTTAAAATAAATAAAGTACTAAGTGAATACAATATCAAGGACAAAATCACCTTAAATTTTAAAATTCAAGCAATGTATTTCCAAAACTAGACCCAAAACAACTGGCAAAAACAAATGTCTAGTCTGCTTAAGGTTCCTCATTTGTTTTTCTGTTTTTTTTTATCTGCGTCTTTTCTTGATCCATACAAACTGTTTCAAATATTTTTGAAACAGTTTGTATAGATCAAGAAAGCTAACAGACTGCTTTCACAAAAACTCTAATTCAAGAAAATTTCATCTGTTCTTACTTCCACATTACTTCTAATTATTTTCACAATATCAGAAAAACGAAAGTTTAAATTTGTCCACATTTTAAACAATAATTTACAAGGATATACCATTTCTTCAGTGATGCCTTCATGCTATGTATATTTTTTGTAAAATGTTTCATTTATTGTTAAGAGTACAGGACAAAATTTCGAGCGAAAAATATACCATTTCTTCAGTGATACCTATGCCAAAAAACTGAACTCCTTTCAAATGGAAAATAATCGATATCATGTTGATAATTTCTAAAGAGATAACTGTAAAGAATAGACAAACCTTTCTGGTTTGATCCTCCATTGAACCTATTAAAGTACTTAGTGAGATTTCTTCCATTCTCTCCTCCGTCTGAAATAGCAAACCTCATGATGTATGATTGGAAAATCTTAAAATTGGTGCAGAATAGATTGTTTCTGTTACCAGAAATGTTGGAGAGAAAAGAAGAAAGAAAAAGAATGATGAGAAAAAGAATGTCATAAGAGCTTTTAAAAGACTTTAAACTATTATATGATTATCGCAGTTTTGAGAAAAAGCAAACATTTTAATTTTCTGAACGTTATCCATTACATTCTATGTCATCGAGACTCATTTCCAAGTTCACCATTAGAAACTCATCATGATACTACATATTATGGACAGAATAATAAATTACAAAAAGCAAAGAAAGAAAATGGATTAAATTAAGCAAATAAATGATACCGATATGTCATCAACTTTCGTAGTACAGATAGTTCCCGCTTTCGGTACTTCTTTTGGAGTTGTTTCATCAATTTTTGAATGTAAACTCAATTTCTTTGACCCATTTTCTGTGCCAGTTATATCCGACGATAATCCCGACTTATATCGAAAAAGATATTGATGCATATTCTGGCGATGTGTTGCCGGAATATCCAAAATCCAAGTACCATGATCCTTCTCATCTGGTTTCTTCATCACACCACTGCAACTGGGCTGTGCACTTTTTTCATCTTCCATGATGCCTGTAAGTGAGACCTTTGCAACCTTATCGTTGGTGCAACCATTTACTGTGCAGGAATTGGGGCGCTTCTCAGCCTTTCTGATAGCTTTTGCTTGGCATCTGTCAGGATGACGATATTTTGATATTTTTCGCATGCTGCTAGATGGCTCGAGCGGATTTTTCGCATTAAGTTGATCGATTTGTTCTCGTAATTGTTCCCGTAATTCTAACAATTGTTCAAGTTTCACATCTTCCGGGATATCCGCCATTAGCAATGACGCATCACACCTGAAACTGTGGTTAAAATTTTACTCAAATCTCAAAATTAACTTAGTAGTCTGATCCAAAATAAAACTAAGGAACTTCCTTTTCAGATTTGACGATCCGGAAAGCATCAAAATGAATGACAAGAAATGTAACAAACACCTCTGTCGAATGAATTATAAACGTGGAACAATTCGACGGATTTGTTCGCATAATTCCTGTCATCTGATGCTTTGCAGTCTTTCTTTTTCCAATTAAAAAAAATTCAAATATAAATTTTAAAGATGATAATGATCAGAAATGAGCTGTTGAAGAAACCTCAACCACAGTATGGTGTCATTAGATATTTACATAAAAACCGTTACAGGTATCCAACCTCCTGGACTGTCATAGATAAGTTCCTCCTATTTGTTACATTATATTTGTTAGCTCAACATTATTTGGCTGCAAAAATTTGTTGCTAAGAAGCTTTTGCATCAGCAATATTGGCTATTGATATTTACGTTACTCTTTCTGATACGACGCCTTTTAATTACAATTCGCTTATGGCTGCTACTAGGAGAATAGCAAATTATACTTATGCATTATATGTTAGCTGCCTCTTTTTAATGTGCTAGCATTATGTGTTTAATGATAACTTATAACTAATGAGTACCGCTAACCGTACCATTAAAAAGTAAATGCTATTTAAGCTGGAAGAAAGTGATCTTTATATCTCATTTTTGTTTATCAAGAATGACTTCAGCAAAAATTCTAAAACCGCTCATCAAATTCCTCACTGATATCAATCATATTAATTCAGTGCTACAGAAAAGGTAAATGCTCAACCTTCCTCAGAAAAAATTTGATCATTTTAAAATCTGAATTAAAATTTTCTTGCAGAATCCATAATAACAACAACAACAAAAATTTCAATCATGCAAAACAGGACTTTACAATCTGTTGTTCCTAGAGCACCTTTAATAAAATAACAAACAATCACAATACACATGAGAAGTGAATTCTCTCAGACCGAGAAATCAATAAATGAAATATTCTTTCTTTCCCTAATAACAAGGCATTCTTCTTACTCCAATACTGAAACAATCTCCGTGATCAATTGTCATGATTATTAATCCTTCTCATCTACCATTATGCAATAAATAGTAATATTTATCAGTTTCTGTCATCTCCTAACTACAAACATCTTTCATGATTTCAGTTACTGCTCTCATATTATATTACACAACAATATCAATCATTTCCCCAACTTTCAACAATATGTTAGGATACAACCTCATTGCTTCCAAAAATCCACACTATTTCTTTTACTCTCGAACTTTTTTGCATAATTTTGAAACTTTTAACTATATCCACTGCCTGATTTTATTTAATTAGTTCCTTTTGAAAAGACTGAAATTATATTTTGCAAGAGTACAATCTTAAACGAATTACTTCATGCATAAAATATCCAAATCCTTTGAATTTAACGACGAAAGGAAGGGGATAGAGAGAAAGAGGGTAGGCAGAAGGGAACAGGAAAAGCTATTCGTATTCATTCAATATGAGCTTATTTTAAATTTTAAAATTGTAAATCTAAGCACTTTTTTGTTCTTTTTTTGTTCCAAAAATTTAAGCAGAAAAAATAGCTTGAAGTGAAGAAACCCGAAAAATAATTTGTATTATAGAAATACAAGAAAAGAATCATTTTACACGATAAAGCAACGAAGGAGAGCAATAAGAACGAAAACACATTCCTGTCTTTTTCTCCACAATTATCGTTCAAATACACTCTTCCTGAGTACCTGACAAGAAAACACAGCCAACCGGAACTGAGATGCGGAAATGAAGGCTAAAAGGAATCTCCCATCACACCCGATATAAACAACACCGAAATGAAGTAGCCAATTCAGGACCTTTAGATACTCGTGCAGCTATAAATCAAATTGTTTTTCACTGTTTTCTGTCGAATAGAATTAAAGAACTGTCAGTTTTGGCTACTGTTAAATAAGTATTAGAGGGAACTCAGTGAGGTGAAACATTGAAGGACATATGAGCAGATATCAGAAAAAACTGTTCATTCATTAAAAACATTCCAGCGAGACGTAACGCGTCTATGTTGCGCGATATTTAGACGTAAAGCACCACGGGCGCTGCAAATCAAACCGTGCGTACCTGTAAATGGAACAACAAGTGGCATCTGTTTTTCATGTATACGACATGAAAACCACCAATGACACGTCTTTAGCTGCGGTGTACGCCAAGTGCAGTTAGCTTGAAATGATCCTAATTAATGTGGCTATTCAAATTGACCGCTCACCGCTTTTGAGTCTTCAAATTCATCGGTATTGAGTGGCTTTCTGAAACAAAAGATAATCCATCGGACAATTTAGCAACTGCATTTTGTTTTGATTCCTTCTTTATTAGAATGATGTTAATGAAAGAAGAAAATACAGTGGAAATCCAAAGTAGCGATGAGGAATAAGGAAGAGCCGAGAACTGGAATAGTGTAATGGACCGGAAAAACACACTCCTCTCTGTCAGGTATTTTCTTCATGTTCTCTGTGTTGGTGGTGAAATTATCATACTATTATCCATTGATGTCGTTGACAAGCATTTTCCACTTCCTCAAATTTTAATAATTGAAACAATTCCATCCAGTCTTTTTTTCTTTTTTATTGGCTTGGGGTAATAAATAACTTTAGGACAGATTAAAAATGGCAAATACCGTTTTATCCCTTATAATGCAATTGCATTCAGTCTATAAAGTAATTATTACTCCCAATATTACCATCGCTATTTCTACAAAGTTTCAGTCTGACATGCTTATCAATGAAGCATTTGTTATCATCATATTCATTTCTTGCGGTTACATTGTTATTGGTTACTACCAATTTGACCCGTTTTATCCTTGCAGAAGTTTAGAATTTTTCAAAACACTGAGCCAAAATTAAAATAAAAAAGAGAAATCGAGGATGCAATAATGAAGTGATGATGATTGGCGATAGAATCTCCGATTCTGAAAAGGAAAAAGTTTGTTTCGCATTGCAAAATTTTATTTTGCTTGAAGCCTATCAGTTTTGCACAATCACTTCCCTTTCATGTAACATCGCAATTTAATTTTTTGTTGCTGCGAATTTATGCTTCAGAATTGAAAAGTGCAGACACCAATGCATGTTGATAGTTTAGTGTGTTAAAATAATTTGCATTATAAGTTGCGACAATATTTCATTAAGAAATCAGAGACAAATAGTTTACTGACATAATAAAAGCTAATGAAATTCTTCGATAATATGCTGTCACAGGTTTTGAAATTCATTTAGCAATACGATGCTTTAGAGAGAAAGAAAAAGAGCAATGCATGGCTCGATTAATTATAAATAGATGAAGCAGCATAGATGCGATTATTATGGATATCCTTTCATTTCTTGGGAACTTGGCTTGTTCACTCTTCTCTTCTACTGTCTTCTCCAACCAGTGGTTGTTGCTTTAAAGTTGAAGGTCAAAAACAACACTTGTAGTTTTCAACCATAATTGATAATCACTGTTTGTTAGTTTGAAATTTTCTAGACGACAGTCAACTGCTAATTACTGGATTTCATTCTTCGCATGTTTCCCATTTTTTTTCTCTTTCTCCTCTCTTTCATTTATATGTTCTGATTCCAAAATTGGCAGAATAATTTGCTTGCTGAATTTTTGCTTTTTATAATTCAATAAAACATAAAACTCTGACCATTGTATTCTTAATTTTTCTCTAATTAGTAGATTTCCCAAATTCAGTTAGTTAGTTTTGATCTTATAACAATCTCTATTGATATTTGAATGATTCAATTTGGCCAGTTGTTATTTCGTTTTGTTGACAACTAGAATGATACAACCAAAACACTTTTCGCTAAATTCAGTTATTGTAATTCTGGTTAGATCAAAACAAAAATATTCGATATGTATCGAAATTTGAGCTGAAACTTTTCACAAGAAGCAACATTCTGCTGTGAATCCACTTCATAGCACGTAATTAATGGTAGAAAATTATTTATAACTTGTTATTGACAAACTTTTCGATAATGTTTGTTTGCTAGACTGAAATTGAAACACAAAATTCTCGTCGATTTTAGCCCATAAATGTTGTTCACGAAAAAGAGGCAAATTCAACCTTCGACTCAGCTTGCAATCAGATATGCCATTCTTTAACTTAATCACTGAATCATTTCATCTTCACAGTTTTTGCACGAGTTATTTTAAAAGCAATGAATGCATTCAAAATGCATTTAAAACTAGTTAAAAGACTATTTGATTTTCCCAATTATCTTTCTTTAATGCACTATAATCCGAAAATTTTCACCTTTCTTTAGCATTTATTAATTTTCCTTGAAAAATCACTGATGATAAATTCATATTCCTTCCTGATTCTGATATTGGAACAGATTTCCTGCTTATTCAGAATTAATTATTCTTCAAAATGTTGCGGTGAACTGAATGGAAGTTTCTTTGCTCAGACAGAATTTGACACCAGAAGTTGATAACTGGCTAAGGTTGTAGCTATTGCTAATTGATTGCAGTCTTTTCGTTTATTCAAGCTTTAGATTTCTTCTTTATGCTATCGGTACCTGTTTAAAAAAAAGAATTAGTATCACAGATTTTTTCCCTTCTTGAACAGTTTGGAATTCAATGCATTATGCCTTTTGAGGATAAGTTACTGGAATATTTCAATTAATATGACGATGAATGATCGAATTCCATTTTTGAAAGATTGTAAAAATGATTGATCGAAGTTTTTTTCTTTTTTCTTCAATTATTTATGCTAAAATAATAACTTTTGAGCCAAAAAATTGGCAACAGCTGTAGAAAGCCGATAGATTATTCCATTTCATAGCTGAAAGAATAGCAAAAAATTATTACTTGAATTAAAGAATTTGAGCCAAATTATCAATATTACGATCTCACCTATGAGTGATTGAAAATGTTCAGTTTAACATTTCCTATTTTGTGGCATACATTTTTTTAACTGCAAAAACTATATACTATGTGATTTTTAATTATATTCGATATAACTCTTATAAGTTTGATTTTCCTCAGTTGAAACTATTCAAACTACAAGAATAAGAATGATAATTAATGAAGAACACCGCTAAAATATGATAAAAAAATCGGTATTAAAAAAGATGAAAAAACTGAATCAGGAAATGAAATCGGATTCTCGATCAAAACCGCTATACAGAAGTTATTTTTAACAT